TTTTCTTACTGGCCCCTGACTTTCATGGCAGTTTTTATTTTTTTGTTACAGAGATTAAGGGATGAAAGAGGGTTAATTAATGGAGAATTTAATTCTCCGTCGAACTGCCCTTTTTTCATCCCTTAATCTTAATTAGGAGGGGAGAGGTGAATTTTTAATTACCGGGAGTCACTGTGCGCCGCAAAACAATTATTTTTCTTACTGCGCTGTGATTTCCATGACAGTTTCTTCCATTTTTTACAGAGATTCAGGGATGAAAGAGTGTTAATTGATGGGTAATTTAGTTTTCCGTCAAACAGCCTTTTTTCATCCCTTAATTTCAATTAGGAGGGGAAAGACAAATTTTTAATTCGCGGGCGAATGGTGAAAAGTCACCGTGCGCCGAGAAGAAAATTATGTTTCTCACTGGCCCATGACTTTTGTCGAATTTTGTATTTTTTTGTTACAGAGATTAAGGGATGCAACAGGGATCGATTGATGGGGAATTTAATGCTCCATCACATCGTCTGGGTTTCATTCCTTAATATTAATTAGCCAGCAAATGAATCACCTGAAAAACATTAAGAACATGTTGAGGACGAGGAGATCATAAACTCCCTTCCGAAACTATCCCTGTGACAGCGGAACTGCTACCTGCCGAGTTACCCGCACAGGCAGTTCGCCCAGCCGTCAGATTCGACCGTGGCGCCATCCCTTCATTGGAGTCGAACTATTTTTGGCTTGGGGTCACTTCAACCCCGAGATCTGAGCCTCTACTTTAGTCAATCCTCTTTGGCCTCTACTTTAGTGATTGACTCTTTGGTTGACATTGCTGTGGCAGATCTCCCTTATAGGGTGCGTTTCGGAATCAACTACCGTAGCTGCAGTAAAGCAAAATTAGATAGGGTTGCAGTACTGCTACTGCTACTACGTCGATTGCGAAACGCGCCCATAATCTCTGACTTTACATTGGCCCTGCTGATCCCCCTATTATCTCTGGAATAAGCTGCCACTTTCTTCCTGTTGATATGGAGCAAAGTCGACTATTCCACACATAAGAGACGAAACAAAATGAAAATTCAAGGATAATAATTGGAACCCTTTACATATTTATTCTTTATCTGTGAATGTTCATAATTGAATAATCATACTTGAGTTTATACAAAGCTATATTTATGAATATACAGAGTTTCTCATTTTCTTCTACATCAAATAATAAAAACGAAATTTGAGTAGATTCACTTCTGTTAAATTAATAGTTATTAATTTGGAATAATTTTCTCAGTGGACAAAAAAAAATTTGGGAGTTGGTAATTTTACAATTAGCCAATTATTCTTAATTTACTTGATTGAGTGATTATCGTGTCAACATCTCTGTAGTATCAAAAATTTCACTTATAATTGCACAAGGCGTTCTATCATCTAAGATTAAGAGGATGTATGTACACTAGGTCTCATCATTCCATCTGTTCCATTATGTTCATGTTCCATCTCAAACATAGAAAAATTCGAAAAAGTATTTATTGATAATGGATAAAAAATAGTACACCTAATTTCATAATCAAATTACGACTTATATCTCTTATGCTGCACTACTTTCTAACTATTCGATTATTTTTCTCGTATAAGTGAGTAAACATTCGTAATAGCAATATGTACAGACGTGATGAATTGATTCTCCTTTATGGAAAAAAATGACGAATAAAATGCAGTGGCTTTAATTAAAGAAATTCAAATAATGTCTATCATTCGAATATCCAAATATTGAGGCATTCGGTACTATTAAAGAAATTTAAATAATGTCTATCATTTGAATATCCAAATATTGAGGCATTCGGTACTATTTAACAAAATTCATGAACTATTAGACATTGGGGACAAGCTGATATTGGTGTCAATTCTCATGGAGTCTATCTTGGCCACGATTTTCAATGCTGGACCGAGTTTTATGCTCATTGCCGACATGAGATGATCTTCTTTCAGAAGCATGAGGGCTTGACCATCGATTTCTTGAATTGCGAAGTCTTCAGCGTAGTCTGCACAGCCTGGAAGGTTTCGAATGAAGTCACAGACTTCGTTAACCTACAAAAATAGAATCTTTTTCATTAATATGAAATAAACATTAAAAATTTGTAGTTTTAGATGAAAATATCAGGTTTTATTATTTGAAGGTATTGAAATTCCTTGAATTGAAATGTCGATGAACAGCCCTAAATTTCTGCATTTCGAAAATGGAATTTTGAATTGCGTTATGATTTCGATGGAAGGTTTAACTTGCCAAAGTGGCCATCACTGGAGGGGATCTAGAGCTGCGGGACACCCTCGATTTTCAGCTGTGTCGACCATTCACGTTTTAATGCGTAATTCTTGTTTTAAACAATAAAATATGATCAGTAAACGTCAAGTAAATAATTTTCAATTAATTTTAGGCATTGAAATTATTTATTATCAACAATAAAATTGTTTAAATCGCCCTAGCACCCAAACTATAAAGAATAGACGAAAATTTTCGAATCAAGAATCATTTAGAATTTAAAGAAGGAATAATTGTTGTCATCAATTTTACGTATCTCTCGTAGATTCGGAGATGTGAGCAATAAACTAGTTAAGCGACCCGACATAGCACTCTCTGCTTGCTGCGGGAGCGTTGTGTTGGGTCACTCAACTCTTTCCTTGCTCATATCTCGAAATCTAAAAGAGATATAGAAAATTGACAAACGACAAAAATTATTCCTTATTCAATTCTAAATTACCTGTGATCAGAAAATTTTCGTATGTCTTTCATAGTTTGGGCGCTAGGGCGATTTGAACAATTAAATTGTTGAGAATAAATAGTTGCAATGCCTAAAATTGATTGGAAATTGTTTACTTGACGTTTCCCGATCACATTTCATCAATGTTTAAGAAAAGCATTACGTATTAGAACGCAAGTGGTCGGTTGGTCAATTTAGAAGCGCTTTTTTGGGAGTGTACTGGAGCTCTAATCGTATTTATCATACTCCGTCCGTAAGGCAATGCTTCAGCGGTGTTGTGCGTGTATGTGTATACGAAACCCTGCTTACGGACGCAGTGACAAAAAATATTATTCATTCACTCGGCCGAAAGAAACTTTCCTGCCTCATTACATGTGATTACAATACTCAGTACTCGTTGGCTTCTTCTGCTACCTCATATTCGCCAAAAAATACCATCACGGTCTTATAACTAAAAGTACTATTGAGTATGTCTACACGAGAAAGTCTTACTTTGGCGCTATGACAGCTATGCAGATTAGAAACATGGAACTAATTAGTTCCATCTATCACATACTAAACTTTTCAAGATTTTTCACTAGGGAAAGTCTACTCTAACACAATAAAGAAAAATACTTACCGTCCATTTGACTGGATTAATCCTTGGAATATCTTCACTCGCGGGGGTAGAAACAGCGGGAGACATATTTTCCGTCTTTTTCAGCCCATCATCAATCCTTTTATCGACTTCCATATCTGTCCACTGTTTATCTACTTCACGTTCCTTCGCTTCTTTCTTTTTACTCTTAGCACAAACTGCGGAGCAAAATCGTTTATCCTTTTTGAACTTGATATTATGTTCATCTAGGACCGTTCCACATGCCTCGCAGTTTCCACTGGTACCATTGGAGTCTCCATCGTTCGAAAAGTTTCCTGCGTGTTTTTTCCCTTCAATAAACACACACAAAATCATACATTAGTATTAGGATAAAAATAAAAATATTTAGGTACAAAAATAGAAAAGAGTGAAAACAGTACTTTTCTTACTTGGCGGTTCATTGGATGAGTCTTTATCGCTAGAATTGTTTTTATTTAGTGCATTGTTAGTGCCCTGCATTACAGTACCATTCAGACGTTTCTCCGAAAATGGCTCATCAGCTGTTGAAAAATATTCAATCATAAGTTATTATTGTAACTAAAATACGCAAAGCGTTAATAAAAAGAATTTTTTTCCCATTCACTTGAGTTAGACTAGTTTTTTCTTTTCAGAAAATTGAGACATATTAATTTTAACGTGTTCTGAAAAATCTGAGTTTATTTGTATGGAAAAAAATGTAAAAATACCCTTCTTTCTAATTTCCTTTCTTTTTTCTTACTTTCTAATCTCCATACTTACCTTCTTGGATGACGAATCCCTCAATAACGTGTGTTAGAACCTGAGGCTTGACGAGAGCTTTCGGTGGTGCTTGTTTGCTGTTGATTGGAATTGGGTTCGGCACCGAAGGAGGTAGTGGTTCATCTGCGACTCCATTTGTTATTGAATTTACTGTATTTGCCAGGTTTGTTAAAGGATTGTTGGTTTTTCCATCGTGCTTCGCGGAGGTAGATAAATCTTCCTTTATTCTCGTTTTATTTGCATCTAATCCTAGAACATCATATTAACAGTCAAGATGTTCAAACAAGCAGGGTTGTTTCTGCCTTTTTGGCAGAAGCCATGTGACATTTACTTTTTTTTCTACCAATTCCATTGGTAATAAGCTTCCGAATGGATCCGTACAATTTCGCAGATGATAACTACTCAAAAAGCTATTCATATTGGTAAGGAGAATAAACCACCCCGACCTCTGATTCTGTCAGAGCTATACAATTTCATCATGTAATGTCATAAGATCTACAATTTTACCAAATTTTAACTTCTACCTCTGCCATAGCTATGATATTTCATTAAATACAAAATAGCATAAATTGTTGTTATGCCTTTTTAAGCCATATAGAGACGAAAATCATTGATAAAATAACGATGTGTAATTAGAAAAAAAGATTTTTGGATAAATTGCTCTATGCCCGGATGTACTGAATCGATTGACATAAAATTTTATACATAACTGTGAGCTCATAATACAAATTAATATACAAAATCTCAGATGTTTAGTCCAGGTTTGACGCGTATTATGGACACCACATTAACTTTAAAATGAAAAAATTAGAAAAACGCTGATATCTCGAAAACTTTGTGTGGGTGGGTATGCATATTTTGATTGATCTTGATAGAAGATACCATGACAAATATTTTGAAAAAAACAGTCAATCGGCCCAGTAGTTCAGGAGATATTGAGCATAATAGTTTTTTACAAAAAGATGAATATCTTCGAAACTACTCATCCGATTCAACTCGTGAACAATACACTTCTGTATTATCATACGATCTACAATCATACCAAATTTCAACTTCCTATCTTCAATTTTCAGGGACTTATGGTGTCCACAACATTTTTTCAACAAAAATGAAAAATGTCGATGATTATTAAACTGACCCTAGTTACGTAGCTATATTATGATTTGTTTCGATAGATATTATCGTAAGGAATACTTTCCCGCCAAAAAACTTCAATTCGGTCGCGTAGTTTTTGAGGTATTGAAGAAAATTTTTTTTTGAGAAATTGCTATATCTCGGAAACTACTGGGTCGATTGAGCTGAACTTGCGCCCACAAATGCTCCAAAGTAATACCAATTATACGACAAAATTTCAGATTTTTAGCTCAAACTTTAGTCCTTTTTGCTTCCGAAGGGAAGCATTATTTTTGGTCGATTTTTCGATTTTCTAATTTTCATTGCAAATGATCTAGAATGTCATGAAACGTGAAAAAATGATGTTTTTGAGGTTGCGTCTGTACGTATGTATGTGCAGAATGGCTGTTTTGGGGGTTTATTTTTAGAAATTTTAACATAAATACGGTGAAATTCGCAGATAAAAACTTGAAATTTTTACTGATGATAGCTATGAATAAGCCCCACTTTGTGGCTCCATTTGGGCTCAATCGGTCCAGTAGTTCCTGAGATATTGCCAATTGTTTAAATTTCGTTTTTCAGCTATATCTCCTCAATAAATGCACCGATTTCAACTTTTTTTTTTCAAAATATTCGTCTCGATGATCTCTACCTGAATCATTCATAATACATAGACCAATCACTGCTGAGTCTAGGAATATTGCCGTTAATCGGTTTTTTTGTGAAAAACGTTGTGCGCGCGATAACTCGATAAAAAATGTTAATATCGATTTGAAATTTGGTATGCTTGTAGCTTTTATGACATAGATGGATGGTATTTTGAATGGGCAAAATCGACCGAGCGGTTCGCGAGATATTCAATTTTTTGTAGAAATCCATTTTGGCAAATATCTCCTTAACTATTCGAGGGATTAAATTTTTTTTTTTTTGAAATACTCGTCCCAATGACCTCCATCTGAAGCACCCATAATATATCGAACAATCGCTGTTGAGTCTAGAGATATTGCCGTTAATCTGTTTTTTTTGCGAAAAACGTTGTGCGCGCGATAACTCGATAAAAAAGGTTGTTGTTGACTTGAAATTTGGTATGTTCGTAGCTTTCATGACATAGACGAATGGTATTTTGAATGGGCAAAATCGACCGAGCGGTTCGCGAGATATTCAATTTTTTGTGGAAACCCATTTTGGCCAATAACTCCTTTACTTCTCGAGGGATTAAATTTTTTTTTTTTTTTAAATACTTGTCTCGATGACCTCCTATTCCATATGAAAGAAGAAAAGTTGCACTATGGAATACCATCTGGAATGAGAATGATTTTTTTGAATTCGAATGGGACGTGTATTCATCAGCACAGATCAGTCTGTTTTGGAAAATACGAATGAAATCGAGAGAAATAATTGAATCGGAGTAAAACCACATAATTTTACATATGAAATTTTTAAGAGGACGAAATGATTTTATATACTACGGTTGAAATAATAAAAATAAAAAATAGACGATGCACTTCTTCCCTTCGGAAGCTTATAACCAATGTAATTGGTAGCAGAAAAATGAAGACTTTTGACATAACAGTGTGGTGTCACAAGTCTTCTGTCGAATAGGGTCGGTCGCCTGCTTGTTTTGGGGGGATTTATAAAAAATTTCCGAAAAATCGGTATACACATTCGGACATACATGCACACATTTTCTAAAAACATCATATTTTCACGTTTCATGACATTTTACATCATTTCCAAGCAAAATTACGAGATCGTAAAAATGATGGGTCACAAGGCTTCCATTTGGAAGCAAAAATTGGAAAACTATTTGTGTTTTCATCATAGTTATAACAACCGTCGATTCATCGAATCCATAATTCGTGAAAATTTCCATAATTAGACTGGAATGAAAAACATTCTTTCCCAGTAATTAGCTCAAATGATTCCCATTGAATCTTCGATTATTTCTTGAGACATGAGTCATGAGTTGAGTAATTTTTTAAACAATGCTCACCTTGTGTTTGTAGAGGTGTACCTGATCTTTCTCTACTGTCACTGACTTCCTTCTTCGGTGCTGATTTGTCCTCCTCTGTCGTTGTATTGTTAATATTACAAGGTTGAACAATCGGTTGGCAGTCGTTTGAATGACTTCTCTCTGGTGACGCAATGGCCATGGCGGCGGTGCCAGCATTATCTTGTTGCTGTTGATCTGGGGACTGTTGTTGTGGCTCACTTGCTTGCTGTAGTATCGGTAGTGCCTGAACTTGGGAACTACCACTTACCACCTGATTTCCAATTATCGTTGGATTCAGAGTCTGTAATGGGACATTTTCATAATTCAAGTTATTATAAAATCATTGATTGAATATGTCGATAAGGAGATCTCGTTTAATAGTTACAGCAATAGGCAATTGCTGGACTCCCTGCATCTGAGACTGTTGAACTGGATTCATCTGCAATGCCGTTGCTACACCAACACCGACACCGCCCATTGATACTACTGGCATTATGGGTCTCTCCGTTCCAAGGACAACTCCAGATTGCTGAGGTGGGAGTGTCATACCTGCAAAACAAAACCCCAATTAATTGATCAAAAGTATGTTCAAGTTAGAAATGAAAAAATGAATGCAAGAAAGGAACGTGAATCAAGATAGATTGACGTTCAGTTCACTAAATCAATACTTATGCATTACAGAATTCGAACATGAAATCAAGGCTGTAACGATATAATGAAGCAATATCAGGGCAAAAATTCTGTATAGACTATTTTGAAAAGATCTCTGAACAAAACTCAAGGTTAGAAACAGATAAAAAAATGATCGAAGCTCATAGTTATGCCAAGAAATTGCAAAATAATTGAAAAAAAATAAAAACCTACCCATAATTGGTTTGGGCTGAATTTGTTGCTGAGAATTCTGGGCTTGTGCCTGCTGATACTGCAACTGCTGATGCTGAATATGTTGCATCTGTTGCATAAACATCTGCTGATACTGGGGTTGCATTTGCTGCCCCTGCTGCTGTTGTGCCTGATGCTGCTGTTGTGATTGCATTACTGTTTTGTTTTGTTGTCCAAAGTTTTGCTTGTCAGAGGTGGACATAGGTGAGCCAGGTGGTTGCGCAGAAGTTACCACTGGTTGATTCGTTGTTATTAATACTTTGTTATTTCCATTATTGCTGGTTGCATTGGTCTGTTGTTGCATTATCATGGTAGTATGATGTACATTTGATTTCGTTTGATTTGCAGCGTCAGCTTTTGTTGCTATTAGGGCTGAATTTGTACCGGGACTTGTGCGAACCACCGGCTTACCACGGCCTTTACCACCACTTCCACTTCCCTTGCCACTCTGAATTGAACAAAAAAAATTCCCATGGAACAAATTCTATTTTTAAATTAATACCTCTTTATAATTGAATGAACTGATAAGGATTCAACGAAAACAAGAGAATAATAAAAATTTGCTAGCTCTACGTGGTGGGTCGCAAAGTGGTCCTTTTTTCAATTTATCGACTAAAAATATAATTAATGATGAACAAAAAAATCATGAAATTAAATGTCAACTTAAGAAAACCCCAAAGAAGTAATAGTTCCCGGTTTTTATGTATAGTGACCTGTGCCTGTACCGTTGCTTGTACTCCGTGAACAGTTTGTGTTGATACTGAACTGGCTGGTCGAATATTGGCGCTTTGAACACTTTGGAGAGAAGACGGCAGAATACTCAGGGGACGCTGACTGGCGCCACTTTGTTTGCCAGTCTGTTGGGGTTGTTGCTGAATATCCATTACCCTAGGTTTCGTTCCAGCTGCGGCGATTTGCTGGACACCTTGAATTTGCTGCTGAGTTGCTAGAGCTAAAAGAATATATTTTTGTTTAAGGCCCGGCTCCATTATCTGCCCAACTTTATCTAGATTGCTTTTTTTATTCCATTTTTATCTCGAAATTTCAACTCGATGCCCCGTCATTCAGAGATCCCAACAAATTATGAATTCGGATTGGAAAAGAAGTAAAAAAAGTTCTAAACATTTTGACAGAGCGTTTTTAATTAATATTGAAGAATGAGTTCAATGGAGGGGATATGAATAATGTATAATTACCGTGTCAAATGGCCTATCAGTTGCCTGCATGGGGGGAGGAAAGACGAAATAATAAATCCTTTGGGACAGTGCAACCAGATGATTGTATGAAAAAAGGCTCTTTGAAAAATTTTGTAATAATTTTAAGAATTTTTTTATCACACTTTTACGATGAATTACTAATCACGTACACCAATTTCCCCAATTGACAATTGTACTGTCCATCAACTGTTACATTTGTCGGGAGTGCAAAAAAGGAAGAAAGCGATTTCCCTATGTTTTCTATTCCCGGCAAAAGTGACAGCTGATGGCCAGTAAAATTATCAATGGAGGAGATTGGCATAAGTGATTAGTGATTCATCGAAAAAGTGTGATCAAAAAATTCTTGAAAATGTTATAAATTTTTTCAAAAACCTTTTTTTCGTACAATCGTCTTGTTGCGGTGTACCAAAGGATTTATTATTTCGTCTTTGCTCTTCCATGGTGGCGACTGACAGGCCACCATCTGCCACGGTAATTATACATTATTCCTATCTCCTCTATTGAAATCATTCCTCAATATTAATTAAAAACACTCTTTCAAAATGTTAAGATTTTTTTTACATTTTTAAAAATCTAAATTTAGAATTTTCGGATGTCCCTGAGTGACGGGGCGTCGAGTTGAAATTTCGAGACAAAAATTGAACAAAAAAATTAATTTAGATAACGTTCGGCAGATAATGGAGTCGGATCTTAAACAAAAAAATTCTATTAAAAATGCTGTTTAAGAAAAATTCTATTCTATGTAAAATATTTGAAGTAATCCAATTGTACTGACAAATATTCAATTCAAGTGTACTGATTTGCATGAAGATCTCTTCTTGATGAGAACATTTTTAAAAAATCCGGTAAAAATTTGCTTGAAGAGCAGCTTTAAAAAAATACAGAGGGATTGACGGGATATAGCGATTATTTTTTCTGTACCTGGTTTGTCGACTAAAGGGGGGAACTATGAAAGAGCGATCTGTAAAAATAATTTTATGCCAAGCTCTCGAATTAAAAAATCCAGCTACAAGCTGATATGATCACCTCATGACAAAATTACAGATATTGAGAGAAAGAAAAATAATAACCATTATGAGTCTGAATAGGTTGTGGGCTCTGAATATACATATCAGGCTGGGTGGGACTCCTGATGAAAATTTGATTGGGAGCAGCTAGCAGAGTAGTCCCAGGGGGCTGGATTCCTGTCCAAGCCACCTGCGGAGTAAATTGCCATGGAGAAAACTGCATCTGCCCCCCACGTTGTCCAGATTGGGTGCCAGTAGCACAAGTTGTATACTAAAATAAAAAAACACGGTATAAATATCCAAAATTGCCCTTTAGATGACAAAACACCAATTATAAGACTGTTACTTTTTGTACTTGATCAGGTTTGTTGTTATTCTGTTGCTGCTGTTGTTGCTGGAGTCCTTGAGGAGGCTGTGGAGATCCAAGGACTCCAAGCTGTCCAAACACGAGAGTCTGCCCTCCTCCGGGATTACCGGAAGTAGGAACAGGTAGATAGCCAGTCGGAAACCCTTGAACTTTACCTCCAGGTCCCCCATGTCCTCCACTCTGACCTGGATTGGAAGTAGTAGTCAGCATATGTGGTGTCAACTGTCCAGCCGACTGAAAAGGTTTTCCAGCTGCTATCACTTGTATTGACGAGGGATTGATACCAGCAGGATGAAGAGCAAGATTTCCGGGCATCAGAAGAGGAGTTCCCTGGGTATTATACAACTGCTGAAGATGATAGGCCTGACTCTGCATTGGTTGTTGAATCACCTGGACTGCTTGCGGATGTGCAGCCATTGTAGTGATCGTTGTTGCACCTTGTTGCCCTGCTAAAGCCATTGAAACACTACCAACGCCTTGTTGCTGCTGATGTTGCATCGATACTGCCACAGCACCCTGTAACTGATTTTTATTTATTTCCCTCCAGTTCTATTTGGATGTATAGAAAATGATCGCGGAGTGATATATACCTGCTGTGGCATACTTGCTGCCACCTGAGGCTGCACCTGGACCTGTTGAACATTATGCTGAGCATTATTTTGATTCTGCTGCTGTTGCTGACTTTGTTGGGACGATTGCACTTGCATCTGTGGCTGTTGCATTTGGCCTTGATTCACTTGCTGATTCTGATTCTGTTGTTGCTCCTGGCTTGGTTGGACATGCTGTTCTTGAACGTTTTGCTGTTGTTGAGACATTTCTATCTGTTTTGTCGCAACAGCCATTTCACGATTAACAGAAACGATAAGGAAGAAGGTGACAACAGTTTCCAAAACTGTTGGAGATAATTATTCTTGTTCAGGTTTCATTTTCCTTGAAAATTTTTCATCACTCTTTCCCATTTTTTTTGCTTTTCCTATGCAGATTTTGCTGTAAGTCTGAAAACATGATTGGGAGGTTTAAGTATTTTTAAGAATTGGGGGCGGGGGGAGTAATGTGGACTAATTTGTTATCGTACTGATAGAGTTTATTAAAATTGTCACTTTTATGTTTGAGTTGTTATTGTGAAATTGCGTGTTCATATCTTATCAGGTTTTCTCGTCACGTTACATAACGGAATTGGCTGTGAAGAGAGTAGACTTCAACCGGTTGTATATAACCTATAATGATTTGATTACTTCTGATTCACGCGTCACCAGTGAACCTTTGCGGTACAGTTGTTCTGTTATCTTTGGCGTTGGTGCTTGTTGTCATAAAATTCAGTGGTATGATATCACATATTTATTTGCATTTTTATTTTTTCTGATGTTTTGAATAAAATATTGTAATTGCTAGTTAGTAGTGGTATGATGAGTTATCGAATTTGTAATTTCTTCATGACACCAATTGTGAGCATCTGACCATTTTCCACAAAGTGAAATTCGTTCGTGCAGTGAAAATCCCGTCTATTATTTGCAAACCATTTCACTTGTGATTTTTGGCTTACAGTCAGATATCTAACCTATCATAATACTACACAATAAAATAGCGTCGTATTGAGAGCCCCTGCAATTGGTTTGAGGGTGGCCAAACAGTGGAATTTTGTGCTATGTACTGTCTTCTCCACCTGCTTCTTTTTTCCTAATTTCCTTTGAGGTTAAAAAGGAGGACAAAGACGTTTGAAGTAAGATTTACACAAAATGAAAAAGGAAGCTGGAAAGGAAAACGCAATGACAGCATTTGTCAGCTTTAACAGAAAAGGTGAATTACAAAAAATGTAGAAAAAACGGTAATAGCGATTGCGTGAAAAGAAGGTAACTAATTTGGATAGTACAGTGTTTCTCATTCAGTTATCGCCAATATTGACAATCCCGAAAACGTTAAAAACTAAATGAAGTAAACAAAAAAATCACAGAGTTGGGTGTACCGGTGAGACGTCTAAATATTCGCAAGCGAAATTCCAACGTCAGAGATAAGGGAGAGATCTGTCATATATTTTTTTTATTTTTAAAGATTATGGCTATTTGGATGTATCCAGTACCCATGAAAAGAGGGACACAAAATTTAAGTCAAAGCCGAGCACTGGAAAGCTCAGAGTTTGCTATCCATTTTGGAGGCATCGAGAAACAAAATGTCTTCTTTGGGCTATCATAATTACCGTAACGGTGAGCCAACGCAGAGAGGAGGCAGCGAATATACAAGAGGGGAAGTAGGAGAGAGAGAGTCAAATCTGGCAACCGATACAATCGTCGGGTTGTTGGGGGGTGCACGATGGTTTCCGTCTTAGATTTTTTCCCTCTCACGGACGCATTTTCCCCCTCTGCAATTATAGCAGTACTAGTCCACGGCGGAGAAGATGAGAGCTGAAAGGGGAACTCATCTGGAGTGGGAATTGGTAGAGCAAAATATGGAGAGAGTAATGAGGCTGAAGCTATTCTGTTTTACCACAGAATTCTGCATGCGTGTGATGGAAACGGAGAGAGCACAAAAAATAGTAAACAATTATGGTCGAGGGGGAGGAAGAAGCGGAAGAAAAAAGAAGTGAATTAGAGAGACAACATTGATGAACAACAATAATAACGAGCGCGAACTATTTCTTTGGTGGGCTTTATACTGGTTACACTGATGAGCGAAATAGAGAGAGAAAGAGAGAGAGAGAGAGAGAGGGGGGAGGGGAGTGAGAGAGAGTGTGAGAGAGAGAGAGAGAGAGAGAGAGAGAGAGAGAGAGAGAGAGAGAGAGCGCAACTGAAGAAAATGAGCGGAAAACAACTCACGGAGGGGGACGGGGATGACACATACCAGATTTGTATCGAGTCTCTCTCTCTCCTATCTGCTTATTATGTTTCTCTTTCCTTAGCACAATTTTTTTTAATTCTTTCTGTCTCAGTTGTTTTCGTTGTCGCCACGGCGGGCGAACAGTTAACCGTACATACTACAAAATCTTAAGTTATATATGATGTTAACATATAGCGACTGCGCAGTCACATCTAAACACGTTTTAAATCACGTCTCGGAGAGTGTGTGTGTGAGAGAGAGGGGAGGAGGATATACCAATACATCTCAAGGCATCGCTCGACACACAGACACACTTTAATTACCAGTTCAAAGTATTCAACTCCTTTCTCCTTCGATTCACTCACTCACAACTTTCATGTTTTCCAGAAGTTTGTGGCTACACTAGAAATCTCATTCCCACTAATAAATCCTATCGTCAATTCTATACTCAAAAATGTAGAAAAATAATTCGTACCGAGTTTCATGGAGCGCGGAACAACGTACAGTGAAAATTGGCAGACGTACTCGTTTTGTCTGCCTCCTTTGGCTGATCCCCTACTTTGGGAGTACTGAACGACGCCCCTCGTCCCTCTTCGTTTCCCCCCACCCAATCCCGTAGAACTTTTTCACTTCTCTACATTTCGTATTCCCCTCTTGGTTAGTGTATTGTTAAGCACGGGTTGGTTATACCTCGCATTGCCCCACTACTTTCCTTGTCCAAGTGACCATAACAGTCACGAAAAGTGATTGGTTAAACGCGGACAAATCCCAGGGGCATCGGTTGACGCTATAATGGGCGGAGCCTTTCGACTGTTGAAGGTTCTGAGCGCATGCTCATGCCACTGTCTATAGTATTTTCTACTAACACATGGAGAGAATGGAAGCCATTCAATCGTTACGAGCCGACCCATAGCCAGTGTCCCCCCCCCTTTTCATTTCTACTCTTCAATCGCCCCCTCTTCCGTCTGGCCGTAATGTTTTTTCCCCCGGCTCGCTCAGATTCTGTGATATAGCTCTATCCGACGCGAACAGGACCGTAGATATTTTCTCTGACAAATGTCAGAAATTTCTTCAGTTTTTAAAATAGATTTTAGGATAAAATTGTCAGAAATCAGAGGGAAGATAATAAAGCGAATGAGAGGTTGCGTGACCTTGAAGTGGAGAAGGTTCTTTTGGAGTTTTGTGGAAGATTGAGGGGAGTCTTGAAAGGGTGCTGGGATTTATCCCTCCATCCCTGGGAGTTCAAGTCAACCAGGTGCGTAACGGAATCGCATTCACGTCAGAAAGTTTTGTATATGATGCTACTTTCTACTTGGAATTACCTGTGTCGGTTATTTGGAAGTTATTTGGAAGTTTGTGAGGTAGATTACATTACCTGGTGATAATTCATACAGCCACTACAACGCTTCATCCATTCAGAAGCAAATTAAATCCTGTGTTGCGCTGGAGACGAACGAAAAATTCAATTTTATAGAACTTTGAAACAAAGGGGTGGCGTGCTCATTACAAATTTGTCAATTTTTTTCTTTCATTGTTGGCGTAATTTACGCAATGCTCTCGAAATGTTCATCCCGATTCAAATCTTTCAAATTGTTGCTACCCGAAAATGTTGTACGGCCCTGGCACAGCTGTCTAGTGGCCACGTTTACACTCTTCGGGTCTCGCATACACACTCGCCTAACAAATATAGGAACCATCACCCGGCAGCTTCACCCGTGAATTGGGTAGTTGATGCTATCGCTTAAAAATATCTTCAGCCTATCCGGTTGCGAGATGGTTGCACAACTACCTCGAATCTCGAACTTCAACTCCACTGTCTGCCAAAAAATAAATAAAGTGAGCATCACCGAGTAAATTCATCCTCAAACCATTATTTACAAAAGGAAGAACAGTCATCAATTTTCCTAAATCAATTCTAGCCTACTTTTGTACTGAATAATGAACAAAAAAAGTTCTAACCTACAATTCAGTTTCTTCACCTTAATTCATCGTTTACCGAGAAATTGTTCCATTAAATAAAAATGCTATTTCATCAGTTCTTTGAACCTCAAAGATAAAAATTGAGTCTATAAGGAAAATAACTCCTTAAAAAACAAAATCTCCAAGCCTTTAAAATAACCAATGGACCCTGGTGATGCAATGGGTTAACCCATTGACCAATCTTGTTTCGCACCACCTATAGCTCTTAATATCCATAAAACCGCCTATCGTTATTCTTGCACATAGTACATCGTGCCTCATGTGCCTCCAGTTTTCCATCCTAGAATCGTGTAACTCGGAGGG